GGCAAATAATTATGTACTTACCATCCTAGACTGCATCTCACTTCATCAGGTGCGATTGCAGTCAAATACCTGCCTAGTCATGCAGTCAAAATAGCATTTCCCTCGACTATGGGTATGGTTCCGCTCAATTTCAGTCTAACACAGATGTTTTTTCATTTATATATTCAATACCAAAAGTATCTTTCGTATGTATCGCTAACATGAGACTTTGACCTTTAGTACCTACATAAGTAATGGATCAAAAATACCATGCAATTTCATTCTAGTTTAGAACATTATGTTTTAGCATAAATAACACCTTAGACATGGATAAGTGTTGCAAGCACGTCGTTTAAAGTGAGGAAAAACTAGTTCAGTTTTTAACAAGCTTTTTTTTTAATGGCTTAGTTTGAAATGGTCTAGGTAATTAGTCGGTTTCTAGGTGTTATAGTGTTATTAGGTAGGTACATTAGATAAAACTCGAATTACCTATGTCGTCACTTGTACCTCAGACCTTACATTTGGTTGTAAACTAGCTAACTCCTGTCTAAATAGAGAAATACGGGTGTCAACGCGACATTTTTATATGAGTTACATTATGAACTCACGGCTTGACGTTTCGGCTGCCATGCATCAGACTGGCAGCTTGCGGCGTCGTCCGTTCGTTCGTTGAGACCCGTGTTTCTCTATTAGTTGAAATGGAACGCGAAAGTTTATAATCCTATAGCACAGTGATGGCCAAGAAGTCAACCGCGGTCTATCGGTCAACCGCGAAGACGATTTTGGTAGCCCGCAAGAGTTAAATTAACTGAACTTATTTTAAAATGTACTAGGTATTTGCGCCAAGAACACTTCGGTCGGGCGTAACGTGGTAGTATTGTTGCTCCTAAAATGTTAATATTTCATTCCTCTAAACTCTACCTTGCAGTCGACTGCAAGAAATATTTTCGAGCTTAAGTAAACCTCACAGGTCAAAAGTTTGGCCACCCCTGCTATAGCACCTGTCTATCTGATGAGATGCCACTGAGTTCTCTCCGAGAACAGAGAGAATCTCGTAGAGTCGCTTTGAAGAAGCAAATGCCCGTTTTCACCATCAATCCCTAATAGTTAAGTGACCCCTATTATGGTAACACAGAACAGGAATTTTGTTTTCATAGGGGTCACTTAAAAATTAGGGATTGATGGTGAAAATGGGCATAAGTCAAACGATTTGATCTAAAAAAATCTGACTTGCCCCTTAAAAAAGGGGCCATAACTGTATTATTTTTCAAGTTCAAAGTGAATAATTTTAAGGTTTTTTCTCGATAATTGTTCATGAATATTTAGAACTAGCTTTGCCCACGGCCTCTCCCGCGTGAAATTTTTGTAACAGATCATTATAATTATAGGTTATTATTATGTTACTCTGATGATAAACAATACTACTGTAAAGTTTAATCAAAATCCGTTCAGTAGTTTTGCGTGAAAGAGTAACAAACATACATCCACACAAACTCTCGCATTTATAATATTAGTAGGATAGGTATTTCGGGTAGGTACCTGGGTGACCTTGTGTAAACAAGTATGTTAATTGCGTAATTGTTTAGGGTTAAACATTAAGCACGGTTCAACCGACCACAAAAAAAAGGTTATCACTTTGACACGTTTAGGACGCAAGTTATTGGAACTGCAATATAATTATTGATAAAATATGTTTTAATGGAGAAATAATTAAAATTTTCCATGTAGTAGGCCAGTAGAATTAGATTTGAAATCGGAAATAATTCCTACAAAAGATTTTATTGCTTTAATGGCTTCAATGGTTGCCCATTAAGATTCTCCTAGGTTTTCGACTTCGACGGAGTTGTGCTTAAGTGGTGGGGGCCCCGAAAGGGGCGCTTTTTAGGTTTTCCGGTTATACCGCGTAAAGGACTTACCCTATCGAAAAGTGGTCTTCCTGACGGTTGAAGGGAATTTAATCCTGCATTAAATAAGACCAAATTCATATGTTTTGGACAAACCGTTCTCGTGCAAATGTGCGGCAAAATAGAAAATATGTGTATAATTAATGACCCTCTCCACGTCCAATAGCTCGTCACCCGTAGGCTTCCAAGCCTTGTAAAGGGTCGCATTAACCAGCGTATCCCTGTCAAGGCTCACGAGTTGGATTCGCTTATCCTTGTTCGTCCCAGCCGTTCCTTAACTGCGGTTGCTGCACCTCTTCCTGGCACTCTCCTGAACGACTCTGTGTTACCTAATGTGGCTGCTCCTCTTTCTTGTACCCTCCTGTACGATTGAATTGCTTAGCCATATGCCTGGTCCAAGGTTCGACGCCACAAAATCAACTTCGTACTCGTGAAAATAGTTTAAATACTATTTTCCGTGTTTGCAACATTTTTCTTTACTGCTTCGCCTCTATTAGTCGTAGAGTGATTGTATATATCATATAGCCTTCCTCAATTTATGAGCTATTCAACACAAAAATAATTATTTCAATCAAACTAGTAATTCTTGAGATTAGCACGTTCAAACAAACAAACAAAAATCTCTTCAGCGTTTTAATATGAACTTGTTGTTGTTGATTTTTGGTATCGAAACTTAGACCAAGCATACGGGTAGGCAACGTAGTCGTGCAGGAGGATACAAGGAAGAGGGGCAGCCACAGTAGGTAACACAGAGTCGTTCAGGTGAGTGCCAGGAAGAGGTGCAGCAACCGCAGTTAGGCCTCAGACTCGAACTTAGCGGGCAGCGGGGCGGGAGCGGCGGCGGCGCTGGAGCGGGGCGGGCAACGCAGACCCGTTCTCGAAACAAGCGGGCAGCTCACGCGGCGCTTTAGCGGCGAAGTGTTGTGTTCGGGGTTGTGTTGTCGAGATATTTGTTTTTATTCGCAAACGAAATGTCTGAACAACGGCGACAATTTTATTTCGATTCAAATTTATTCCTAACGCTCGATTTATTGTGGGCAAAAGAAGGAGTGCGCTCTGCCCGCTCGTTGCCCGCTCCCTCGCCGCTGCCCGCTCGTTGCCCGCTGCCGCCCCGCTGCCGCGCCGCTGTTTTCGAGAACCGGTCTATTTGATTTTACGCATAAGATCCTGCCGCTCCCGCGCCGCCGCCGCCGCCGCCCCGCTGCCCGCTAAGTTCGAGGCTGAGGCCTTAAGGAACGGCTGGGACGAACAAGGATAGGCGCATCCAGCTCGTAAGCCTTGATAGGGTTACACTGGTTGAGGCTCTCCTTTTCAAGACTTGGAATCCTGCAGGTAACGAGCCATTGGACGTGGAGAGGGTCATTAATTATACATATATTTTCTACTTTGCCGAACATTTGCACGAGAACGGTTTGCCCAATTGTAGTGTGATTATAATTCTATGATCGAAGTATTATTTAAAAATGGACTTAAAGAGAAAGAAATATTGTGCCGCGTTCGGGTGTTTAAATTCGAAAAGAAATCTACCGGATTTATCTTTTTTTTTTCGCTTCCCAAAGATGCTGAAAGGTATGTTGGCCATGTAGGTAATCAATAATTCTTAGGATAGTATAAGAACCTTACCTACTATGACTACTGCTCAGAATGCGTTCGTTCGTTTCAGCCAAATGACGTCCACTGCTGGACAAAGGCCTCTCCCAAGGTTTTCCATAATATATGCATACTTACCTACTTACGTACCTCATTACAAATAAGTAGATTAATTATTTTTTCACTAGACAGCAACCCTAACAGCGTAAGAAGAGTTCAGAGGCACGCGATAGAAAGAGACAAAACTTGTGGGTGAATAAAATTGTAGGTACGTAGTGCTGTGCGAGCTAAATTCCACTGTATCGCGTCGTAGCAAGACTCGCATTTATTTCAATCGTCTTGCGGAGTAATCCTTCTGTACCTGTACTATTACTTATTCTGTGGTCATAGTCATAAATGTTTGTGGCGTCATGTTGGTACAAATTTAGTTTTCATCTTAATTTTTAAAGATTAAGGCACAGAATACATAATAGTAGCAACAGAAATTGCACTCCTTTGTGTAGGATCAGATGCCGACATTTTAACGGTAATAATAATAATGCAAAATATCCAACGCACATGGTGCATTCGAAATCGCACCTTACTACTACGCTCACAAGAGCGCAATTTTTTTGTGTTCAGAATTGATTTACCTCACAGCTCAAGCGTCAGGGTGGTTTAAGCAAAGTAAAATAAATAAAAACTTAATTTTAAGAAGCAATTATTGTATTTACGATTGGTAAACTTTAATTATATGTGTTGCGATAATTCGAAATTGGACAAACAGTTTTAAAAGGTGTAGTGTCGGAAAATAGACACGGTGAAGTAAAGTTAATGTTTTTATTAGCTAAAATAATTTTTTGCTACAGTTTTTTGTCATAAGTATGTATTTCAAAATTATTTAAAAAGTGTAGTTCTTTTTAATTATTTAAATCACTACAGTTAATTATTATTCCTAAATATTACGATTTTCCATTAAAGAAGAATAACAGTGCTGTTGGAACAATAAACCTTGATTGCGACGATGATCGACCGAGCGTGTATAGAAATACGCGTGTGCTCACAGGCGCGTGGCGGCCCTGACTGATTTGCAACTTGAAGTTGTCGCGCGCTGTAGGTAATTATCTCGGCCGGCATAGGCGAGTGACGGAGGCCTGATTAAGGCTTATTTTCGCGTACCGGTATGTCTATTAAGCTTTGCAGTTAACTGCGTGTACGTATATTTCTATAAAAAAAAGCAAATTATCGAAGTGTACCAATTTAATTTCAAAAATAATTGAATATGAAAAAAATATTGTTTCCTTTACGTAAATCGATTAATTTACTGAATCTGAGTCGCTCCTAAAAATTTGGATACTGATTGCAAAGTCACCCTGTGTAATTAAATTAGTACGGAACTATCGCTCGTAAAAGCGACTCGCGCTTGCTTAGTCAGCATTACAAAGCTGTTTCTAACCTTTGCAAACTTTTTTGATAACCAGTTTTATCTACAAAACACCGTTTATCTGATAGAACAGAACATTAAAAACGTAAACAAGTTATCTAAGAGCGGTTTAGTTTCGATCCAGTCGCGGTGCGCGGCCGTGGTCCTCAAGTCCCTCAAGATGATTGTTTTTATTTTAACATTCATAGTGATTGCGCTTTCATGGCTATACTATGTTACTACGAGAAACCACAACTACTGGGACAAGAAGAAAGTGCCGTACCTAAAGCCAAAGCCGATACTCGGAAATTATGGAGATTACATTCTATTGAAGAGATTTGTGGGAGAAATAGCGCAGGACATTTGCAGAACTTTCCCTAACGAACCTTACATCGGAACGTTCTACGGCTCGGACCCAGCTCTCCTGGTGCAAGACCCTGAAATATTGAAGCTTATTCTGACCAAGGACTTCTATTACTTCAGCAGCCGGGAGGTGTCCAAGTACACGCACAATGAAGTTATCACGCAGAACCTGTTCTTCACTTACGGGGACAGATGGAGGGTCATCCGTCAGAACCTCACTCCCATCTTCACGACAGCGAAAATGAAACTCATGTTTGGCTTGATAGTAGAATGCTGCCACACCTTCGAAAAGTCACTGGACCTGGAGACAAGCGTATCCGATGTCATTGAAGCAAGAGCGCTTACTGCTAGGTACACAATTGAATCCATTGGATCTTGCGCTTTTGGGATTGAAACCAATTCAATGTTGCAATCTGAACAAAATCCTTTCATCCTCATGGGCAGTAAGATTCTCGAAAACTCCGTAATAAGAGCTTTGTTGTGGAATGCAAGAGCTATGTGGCCATCCGTATACTATGGCGTGGGACTTAAGACTTTCCCTGGAGAAATTAACACGTTTTTCAATACTATTCTGACAAATATTTTCAAGGCCAGGGATTACAAACCGACCGCCCGAAACGATTTTATTGACTGCATTCTGAATCTGAAGAACAACAAATACATTACTGGAGACAGCATGAGCAGCGCTAAAGATGGGGGGAATAAGAAGGTGGTGTTGGATGTGGACGATGACCTGATGGTGGGTAGTTGTGTGTTGTTCTTTACTGCTGGCTTCGAGACCTCGTCCACGACGATGGCATACACTTTGTATGAACTGGCGAAGCATAAGGAGGAACAGAGACGCGTTCAAGAAGAAATAGATGAGTATTTGAAAGCGCGTGAGAATAAGTTGGGCTATGATTGCGTGACCTCGCTGACGTATACAGAAGCTTGTGTTGATGAGGCGCTGCGGTTGTATCCTGTGCTTGGAGTCCTGACGAGGGAGGTGGTGGAAGACTACACGTTCCCGTCTGGCCTGACTTTAGAGAAGGAGAGTCGCGTGCACATCCCTATGTACCACCTGCACCACAATCCAGATTTCTTCCCGGATCCTGAAGCGTTCAAGCCCGAGAGGTTCCTGCCTGAAAATAAACAAAATATCAAGCCTTACACATACATGCCCTTCGGGGAAGGACCGAGAATCTGTATTGGTATGTACACTTGGACTAATAACACCTAGATGATATCAAGTTTTTATACAAGTGCTAAGTCTAAAGTGAGGCAAAAAACATAATGTCATCGGCTGACATATTATGTTTTCACGAGTGTGTTCTTTTTGTGTTGGATAGCGCATTTATCGAGGAAGGCTTTAAGCTACGAGTATTAGCATCACCCTACAGCCAATAGGGGCGGATCAGTAAAGAAAAATGTTGCAAAAACGGGAAATATTTTTCAAACAATACACGTTACAAAGTCGCGGCGGGCACAGCTAGTAATTTATAAATAACACTCCTTTTGCGTCGATGTTTGTTTTGTGTTGTAGGTACGAGTACCTCATACATCATATCATATCTGAACTTGCTTGACCTTCTATTATATTAAATATTTAATATTACTGGGCCTCTTTATCAGTTGGTGGAAATACAGAGAACATTAAGTTAACTTGTGGCATCATATTTCATATGTCGTTGTTTTAAGCGGTATTTTCCAAACGAGTCCGATTTGCGGTCGACTGTACCTATTGCGTCGCGTGCTTGTATCTGTAGTGTCACCGTGATTAGCATAATGTTAATTAAGATAATAATAGCATATTATCATTATGTAGGTAGGTACCTACTTAATATTGCTAGGTACTTTAATATTATGTTAGGTATAATAGGCAACCATAACCAAAGTCAAATACAGTGTCTTGCCCCCGTGGTGGACGCCATGGACACATGGAAGTCGCTTAGAAGGAGCCAAGTCAGTAACTTGTTTTGCCCCCCCCCCCTCCTCTCCTAGGCCACTCCTTACACGGCCCCCGATTTTCTATAGGGATGTTTCCTGGGTAAAAAAGGAGTTTGAATTAGTCCGTCGGTTAAATTAGCATAAAATACTCGACACGTATTTTTCACTTTTTCAAAGTACCTAATGAAAATTGAAAGATATACCTACATCGCGCCAAAGTTCAAAGAAGAGGCCCGTACATAACCTCAAAAGTGTAGCACTTTGTGACGTCACGCTGAACTTCAACGCATCATAACTATGTTTAAGTACTTGTAATTGACAGACAAGTATTTTTAAAAGGCAACTATTATGACATAGCTGATTTCGTCGAAATAAAATACATTCGATGAAATATGGGCTTAGGGCTATATTTCACCGGGACACCATGGCGGCGCAACCAGTCGCCGGCTACCAACAAAATGACTGTATACAGCTCTATAGAGAGTTACTCACCTGGTGTCCGTTTGGTTGCGCAAAGCTGCATACATTTTGTTGGTAGCGGCGACTGGTTGCGCCGCCATGGTGTCCCGGTGAAATATATCCCTTAATGTTAAGGCTTAATATTGACGACGGTACATAGTGATATCTAAAATTTATTTATGTAGGTATCTAAACCTAAGGGTAAAGGGTACTACAAGGTTCGAGACTATATTGATGACAAGGATGCGTGGTCAGTCCAGTCTGCTCATATTTGATGTACTTAAATTTGACTATTCTTACCGTTAGATAATTCCTGGCAATAAGTGGTGACTGAGTTTGTTCCGGCGTTTCTTCTCAGCACTTGCCATATGTTTGTCTCGAAGCGCTGGTAGGGCCCAAAAGATAAGGAGACATGTAAAGTGCCCCATAAGGGCTACCTTTTCTTTTTTTATTATTTTCTATTGACGTTCATAAGTGCCACTTGTGGTCTAAACTGAATAAATATTTTTGATTTTTGATTTTTTCTATCTTTGCTGTTGAAAGTACCTAGTGTTATGTTATTTAACAACTTAGGTAAATTGTTAAACAGATTAAAAGGATAGCAACAAGTACTGTTATCTCGTGTAGGTAATTAGAAATAATCAGATAGATAAGTACTAGAAAATGTAATCGGTTGATAATATTTAACTTCGGCAATTCGATGTATAGGTACTACCTACGTGCAAATAGAATACTTAGATTAAAATACAATACAAATCACGCGTATTGCTTCAAAGTAGGTACCTACTTAAACATATCTCGTTACCGTTTTTGTATCTCATTACCGTTTGTTTAAATAAAAAGAATGGCAATTAGAAAACTATAACATTTGCGATTTTCTGTCCTAATCCTATCCTTTTTGGCACCCTTTTAATACAGTGTAAACTCTATATAACTTTACTCAATTAAACGAAAAACTCCTTATAACGTCGAAATTTCTTGACTATGTTGGAATACATTGTTTCCAATCGCATTATCGTGTCACTCTTTTTAACGAACACTCTATCTATAACCACAGAATAATAATAATTTACTTCGCGAAGGTATTTAAAAAAATATATGCTCAATGTCATTAACAATATGGTGTAATTTAGCTTGTCTTAAGAGTCGAGCACCATTTTATTGACAAACGTCAGTGATCGGTACTGCGCCGAAGCCATAGGGCTGACTTCGGTAAAATGATGTGTGACGTGAGGTGCCAAACTGCGGAAAATGGCGGAGGAAATACATGATTAAGCATGAATTATCATGAATAATATTAACCACTTATTTACCTCTTAGTGTCTTTAGGCAACTTAAAAAAAGTACATTCTATATTTTTATTATTATTTAGACAGTTAAATACTGCACAGTATTAGTACACCGCTTTTTTTATTTTTTTCCATCATACACAAGAATACGCGTGCGTGAGTCAATGCTCGCTCGTATGTGAGGCCTTGTTGATTAGTGATCCTGTTAGGTGCCATCGCGCTTGTTTTGTTTTCGATGTAAACTCGCGGAGATGAACAGGCCTGTGGGTCTAGACAAAGTGCAAATTATAATCGCAAACCAGTCGCAAAGTGGTCGAAAAGCCCCTTTTTTGTATGGAGTTTTGACGGATTCGATTTTCGATTCGATCAAAAAGTGCGTTTTGTCTAGGGGGGCTGCTATAACGTCGAAAAATGTTCAGTCACTTGAGAGTCGTTATAGGTACAGGATGTTGATTTCAATCCTCTCCATATTTAGGATGTTGATTAAGTAGTTTATTTTGATCACGAATATGGCGAGAGTTGAAATAAACACCCTGCACCTGTATAGAGTTTACACTGTATTATTGTTTTTTGCTTATGAAAAAGGGCTAGTGTAAAGTCGATGATTTTTAAAAATGTTTGAGATGCATAACTGCCTAGCTCGCATAAATATTTATCACTTATGTATATTTTAAAGTCTGTAAAGCCTTGAAAAAGAGGCTGACCATAGTGACTGAGTTTCTTGCGCTGCTTCTTCTCAGCACTGGCCAGTGGCTCATTAATGGTCCTGAAGCAGTGGTAGGGTTAATACTGGGACGTGTAAAAGTGCTTTTTAAAAGCCTACTTGCATAAATAAATGAGTTTTATGAGTTTTTCTTATGCCAAATAAAGTTTTCTTTTTTTTTCAGGTCTGAGGTTTGCGAAGATGCAAACTCTGGCTGGTCTGCTGACGATCCTCAAGAAGTATTCCGTGGAACTGGCGGACGGCACTCCCGAGAAGCTCCAGTTCGACCCACGGGCGGTTGTGACGACTCCCATCGGTGGGATCCCACTCAAGTTCACGCCCAGAGACGGTTGGGAACAGAGGACCTTTAACAAATAATGCTAAGTGCCAAATGAATGCGAGTAGGTAGAGAAAACCAATGGTTGGGGGCATGTTTACCCGTAGGTAAGTAACTATAATATAATATAGGTACAGAATGTCCCCTAAACAATGGATAACCTTACAACTATTCGATTGGCCTCGATCTCTATAATATCAACCAATTTTCACCTTAATAAAAATATCACAGATTTATAGATTTTTATTTTTAGAAAATTGCCACCTGTATAGTTTTTCTCATGAAATTCAACAAACTAGTTCCAAAACATTTAAAAACAAATTAAAAGATGAAAAGGAAAATTTACTTCGTAATCTCGGATGTGATAATTTTCTAAAAGTACAAAAAAACTCGAAAATCTTGAAATCCGTGATATTTTTACCTGCTCAAAATGTTATTATTAGACCATAGTGAGGCTTCTTGATAGTTACAAGGTTATCCATTGTTATTGGAACATCCTGTATATTAACATGTATAATTATGTAAATAGGGATGTATGAAAAAATATTTCGCACTGTGCCGGGCCCGGAACGTGCCGGAACTGCAGACAAGTTTAGTGTGAATCTACCAAACAAAACACGCACTGGAGTTCTTGCTTTAATGTTAGTTAACTTAGTTAGTTAGATATCAATTTTGTATTTTCCTATGCCTATAAAGTTTTATTAATACAGTAATTTTGTAAACGGTGTTGGTTGTGTAATTACCTACTTAATTGGTTTAATTTTTTTTAATTGTAAGTAACTAAGTATGCATTTATTGGGCATTAAGGGATAATTAAATAAAACTATGGACAACGTAGTGGCTAAAAATAAAATTGATTAATGCATATTTATGTTATATTATTATATATTTTAATGTACCAACTAAGTAGGTAAGTATGTAATATTATACCATAATTACTTTAATGATGTTTTTGAAATAAATACTTACACTAAAAAATTAAGCATGCTTTTGAATTTAGCCAACCTACCCTTTACCAGTAAGTTCTAAAGTCATTTTTATATTTGTTAAGGAAATGTTCACGGGATGTTACCTTAACAGTAAATAACCCCTTCTGGCGCAGTCTGGTAAGGACTAATAACTTAATAATACCCTTATAGGTAAGTAAGTATCTCTAAGGTATTAGGCGATTATCACACTGCGCCGCGCTCCGCCGCGGTACGCGGGACGACAGATTTAATCATTGTATGCAAAGTAGGCTACCTATCTCAGTTTGTATAGAAAACACGCGCGGCACAACTACCGTGGCACAACACACTGACAACGCGTCTGCGCGCGGGATTTTTTATATGAAATCACGCGGAGCGTGGCGCACTGTGATAATCGCCTTACAGAACATGAGGGCAGCTAGGTTTTCCATTAATTTGTTAAAGAACTAAGTACAGTTTACTACTACATTTTTTGAATGTCGTTAGGCTCTTAGGAATGGAGTTACAGGCTACAGCCCTTTAAAATTTTGGTGTCCAACACTCCATCCTAGTGTAAAATAGTAGTCGGTAAGCACCTAAGTAGATGTCGATAAAACCTATCAGACTTTTAAATAAACATTGGCCAAGTGCGTGTTGTGCCACGCGCAGTCTAGGGTTCCGTAGTTGTCCGTCGTTAACACAATATAAGTATTTCAGAAGCAAGCAATGACTTCATCTAAAGTCTCTTTTAATATTTTCTTCTAAGAAATTTTTACTAGCTAATAAATTTTATAATACATGAGTTAAATGACTATTACTCTTAAACTAACTGATGTATCTTAACCGTTATAGTTTTCCTTGACTTTGCACTTTTAACAAATACCAACACCACTTATGTATTTACCCTATTTTTTGAGCAAATAAATAATTTGAATTTGAATTTTGAAATAATTTGAATTTGAAATTTGAAAGTTCATGAAAAGCAGTATTATTACGAATTTTTCCAGATTTTTCAAGCCAACAGTTGAGTTTTTAGTGGGGGGACGCCCTACTCGAAGAAAAATTGGCTCTCTAGTGCCAATAGTTTCCGAGCAAAATCTCGGACAGACAGACAGATATTATTATCGAAACTATAAAGGTTCCTTGTCAGGACTACGGAACCCTAAAAATCTGGTTGTATCTTCGATGTCACAAATTGAGGCATTTCTATTAGTAGTAGGTTTAATTATGTGTAGGCACATATTCTCGTCAGCCACGTAAACTCGGCTCAGCAATTCAGCATCACAGAGTGCCTGAGCCCCGATTACGGTAATTTTTAACGTCTCCAATCCAGACACGCTTCTCGATTCTGCGATACGATTGGTCAAAACAGCTGACGTACGCTGTTGAACGACCAATCGTATCGCAGAATCGAGAAGCGTGTCTGGATTGGAGACGTTAAATATTACCGTAATCGGGGCTCTGCTCAGTGACGCACGGCACGGCGCCTGCGCGAGATGCCCCTCTGCTGACGCCCTGGCGGTAGGGTGGCCATACTCGCATCATAGCTGAACGGTGAAGGTACTAGAGCTCAACTCAGAAACTCTAAAAATTACGAACAAATCTGCACGGCTGCAACGAAATGTTAAAACTAATAATAGGGTATGGCATCTATTCAGATTGAAGTGTGTTTGCTATAAAATAAGGTCCAGGCGTTTTCTTAATTACATGGTGGCTGGCGGTTAGATTAAAATAAAGTTATTAAGCAAACGCCTGGACCTTATTTTATAGCAAACACACTTCAATCTGAATAGATGCACGAGGAACACATAATAGAATGAGAATTCATTCGATTATGACGTGTTCCTCGTGCATCGGTAAAAAGTACCTATTTCGATGAAGTGTACTAACATCAACCAAATGTTCTTCGAAATAATATTATGCAGTCGATTATGAAAAGATGAGACGTCTCCCCCTCTAGGTATCCTTTACATGTCATAAAAAAGTTACCTAGGTAGGGGGAAACTTTATTTTTTTTATTACGTAGGTATTGGCCTTTACTTTTTTCTTTACTTAATTGACGATTTACACTATCTAAATAGTATTAGGCAAATTAATTTTGACTCTGGAGTTTTTAACTTTTCAAAATAATGGTCACAGTAGTCGATACGTTCAACTCCGGCCAGTTTTGCGGCACAGCCAGCGGGGTCAGTCCCGCAGACGTTTGAAACAAAAAACAACACTTACAATACGACAATAACATATCTGTAATTGTTACAATGTTCTTACATATCGGTATAGAGTAGTGTTTGCATTAGAAATCTAGTGTACGTGCGTGTGCAGTGTGCTATGTGCTTTTGAAATAGCATGGAGAGTTCAGTGTGTATTCATCTTTAGTTGGATAGGTATAAGGTGAGAGACAACATTGATGGAGGAAGGCACATAAGTTTTGTTTATTAAGTAGGTACCTAGTTGGTAAATAGGGTGAAATAAATAAAATCACGGTGTTAATAAAAAAAATTTTAATCATTTTAACAACAGAAATGTTTCAACATGGCTTTAAAATATCTCTTAGGACTTAATTAATTTGGCATAAGCATTCAAACGAATAGTTTTGTAATACTTTTTCAATGTGAATACTATAATTATGTACCTACTCGTAGTTTATAATAGGATTGTGGATAATTACTTAAAGGATAACATTTGTGATACAAAAAACTGCTTACTTACAAATTGGTCATGGTTTGTTCACAAACTTTTACCAGACTCATATAAAAATTCAACACGGTTGGTGCCGAGGTCAATATTTTTTTAATGGCGTGCAATGCTCCATCTCTACTCTCATTTTTTATAGAGTAAAAAAACTTATAAACAAATGTGCCATTGTACGTTTTATGATAAATAGTAGGCTGATAATCACCCTGATCACATAATCTGTTAAGATTATTCATTTGCTCGAGACAATGCTGAAATTCAACGAATGGATGAATTAATTTCTTGTCGAAAATATTTTCAAGTTCAGAATAAGTCAATTCAAAAAATGGTGCCAATATAGTTGAAGCTGTATCACAGTCGTTCAAGGTAACTAAATCTTTGTCGATTTTAACAATATTTGGTTTTCCATTAATATTATTGTTGTTATTAGTATCAATTTTTGGTAAAACTACCCCTAACATTACATAGGATAGTAAAATGCTGTAAGCTTCATGCGTCATTGTGTTCTCTTTCTTGCGACAGCAAAAATAAATTAATGATAACACCACAAGTCTTGCATCCTCGGGTAATGTCTTGATATAATCAAGATTGATGCCTGGTAATGACTCTTTTAGGAAAAAATCAAATAATTTAAAATCCTTTATTCCATCCCAACCGTTTCCGAACAGGATATTGTTTTCTTCACAACATGGCGGTTTCTGAACTGACGACGTAGATGTCATTGTCAAACTGACATTGTTGATATTTTGTACTTCATTTTTGTTGTTCTTAAATTGCAAGTTGTTTCTTTGATAATTTGTTAATAAATTATATGCGTACTTTATAATATCGATGGACAGAAACAAAGCATCGTCAGCGTTCGGATCCTCAATGCACCATGAACCGTAGAAGCTGTTCGAATGATACATATTGACGTATACCAAAGCGATTTTTTTAGTTATTACTCCCTTTTCGAACCATTGTGGATCATTGTTCTCGATCAAAGTAGATTTCCCGTTTAATAGGTAATTGACAGGCTCGCCTGGAGTTTCAATTCTTCCAATTAAGTCGAATATTTTGACCTGTTCTTCAGAAAACATATTTTGATCTTCAGGAGTTAAGTTTCTAATAATCCTGCTCTTAATATTTTCCACAGTGTTTCTAGAGAGCCACCTTAATAACGCTGCATTTCGCTTAAAAAATCCTAAAGGCAAACGTACCTCTTCAAAGAATGATTGGAATGGTAAATCAGTGAAAATAAGTTCATCAGTCAATACCACAAATATTGATAGTATTTCTCTAGTAAGGCCATTCTTCCTCATGAAATGATCAAGAATAAATATACCACATTCAATGGAACCTGTAGTATCATTGTAGTGTAGAGGTGGTGCATACGGTATGTAGGGTCTACCGGAAAAGGCAAACTCAATGTCAAAGCTAATAATTGGACACTTCAGCTTTTGTGCTAAAGCTATGCATTGTTTCTTTGATTCAAACTCACAGATAACATAGTCGATACCCATTTCGTCGAGTACCTCTCTATAAATACATTTCATGAATACAGGTGTTATGTCATTTGGTGGGGGTCCATTAACTTCATATGTTAACCCCGTTATATATGTTTCTGTCTCTTTGAATTTGGCTTTTTTTTCTCTATCGGTATTGCCAAATTTGAAAAGTATGTAGCACTTAACATTTGCCTTTTTAAACATGGAAAAGTGATCTCTCAAATAATCTGCGTATTTGTTGGATTCGCAGCCGAACTGATATGGCAGCTTACTGTCCTGATATAAGCGATAAAAGTAGTTTTGTCCGTCTATGACGACTGTGCAATTCTTTAGATTGCACACCTCCAACTCATTTACCTCAATGTTTTTACAAAATGCTCGTATCCGCATTGTGATCTGTAACAACCAAGTTCATTAAAATTTAAGTGTTTTATACCTAAATATAACTAAGTTTTTTAATATTAAATTCTTACTTCATCTAGTCTAGTATGTATAGTAAAACAAGAGATAGCGACAATGATCTTCTAGCCCTTTAAAAACATAAAAATTATATGGTTATCATTAAATTAATATGCAATTGAAAATTACAAAATAAAAAATCTTTTAATTAAGTTTAACTAATAAATAAATTAGGTAGGTATGCTAGTGAGGTTTTTTTTCCGGTTTTTAAGTGGTAAAAATATTTTTTATTTTATTTTATTTTTTTAACAA